AGGCCTATCTTCTACTACTTTACTACTTTCGTCCCAGAATATTTATCCAGTTTTAACTTTATATAGTTAATCATTTTGAATCTTTGACCTACAATTAAATAAAATATATTGTATATTAATAGATAAATTCATATTTTGAAAATATTTTATATAATAAATCTAATAAAGTTATTTTTTATCAATATTTAATATTATTTTTATTTAATTTGGGGTCAAAGTTTATTAATTTTGACCGGAAAAAATCAAAAGTAAACTCTCTAAAATGATGCTACTACCTAGTAGGCTAGTACCTATTGATTACAAATATGAAATTAAAACATTTTCTAAATTAAACTCCATTTAAATGCATAAAATACACCATATTTCTCATTTATTGCAAGGAGAAGTTATTTTGGAATATTTTTTACTTTTTAGACGAGATAGAATATTTCGTGAGATGTGAAAAAAAAAAGAGGTATAACGGTTTTCTTCAAACACACAGAGTAATAATTTGCACACTCTATATGTCACTAATAATGTATTTTATTGAAAAATAATTATTGATTGGTATACAACTTTTTGTGAAGAAGTATGCAAAATGAAACTAAACTAGATGGACTGAATTGATGTAATGCTAAAAATGTGGGCCTATGGAGCTCGGCCCAAACCCATATTTTTACTAGTCTAATGACCAAACAAACTACCAGCCCATTTGAGGTTCTTATACGATTACAAAATAGAGATGATCTAAACAAAAAAGGAAAGTGTGACATTTAAACAAAGGTGAAAAAGTGGTAATGTACATTCCATCTTTTTCCAAAGAATTTATATTTTCTGTGACTTCGATATTACTTAATTTTTGGAAAAATTTACCTTTTGTTTATAGGTACAAAATGAAAATCAATCTTTGTTTTGATGTCTTTTTCAAGTCTTTTATTATTTTCAAACTATATTATTACTTTAGCTTGGAATTGATTTCATATTTTTAGTGAAAATATATATTACTCCCCCCGTCTCAAATTATAATATCTGTTCACTATTCACAAGGTCAAATTTCATTCATTTTCTTTCTCAATTTTTATTAGCAAATTAATAAAATAAATTACTATTGTCACTACTAGTTTTGTAGATCTTTTGATGTAGTATTTTAATACTCCCTCCGTTTGGAAAAACCCTTCCCATTTTGATTTGGGGTAAAAATAAGGAAGTGTTAAATTATGGAGTAGTTGATTTCCAATTTTGCCCCTGATTTGATGGGTAAAAGTAAGATGTGATAGATAGATTATTAGAAAAAAATATGATGTGATAGGTATGGTATGAAAAGGTAAAGGTAAAAGTGGTTTTTTAATAGAAAAGGGAAGTGTTTTGTTGGAAGTGGAAAAAATGAAAGAGGAAGTGTTTTTGAGAACGGAGGGAGTATGTAATTTTTATTTTTAAACTATATACCATTTATCATATAAAATGTTTTGAAAATAATTTCAGTCAAACATCGCAAACCGAAACAGGCGTTATATGATCCATCTCCAAAACAAATTCCTAATACAATTTAAAGAAATTAAATAAAAATGTTGAAAAATAAATATCGTGTTATTGAAATTTAGTATTCACATTAGAGGAGAGAAATTTTATGAGGCACGTGTTAGGGAAATTCGTATATAACACAACACTTTGTCCAAATTCAAAGTGAAATTCTTATATCCAAATTCAAGTGAATTTTTTAATACAGCACTTCGACCACAGTCAGGGGCTCTGCCCCTTGAACTTTGTTCGTGAGTGCAGCCCTCGAACCCCCGCCAAGGAGGCACTGCCCCTTTGGTACCTCCGTTAAAACGGACTTTTATCATAACAAACTCAACTAAGCATCAACTCCGCATCACCAAACTTCTTTGATAATTATTATGATACCATTGATCAAATAGTTTTTCCAATTACAATAAAATATATAAAAACACGAACTCCAATTTTTTTAAAAGAAAACAGTAGAAATAAAAAAGATAAAATTGAAGCAATCCCATTCAAACCAATTGGCATGCGTAGTATGCACATGTAATGCCTGAGCAACCAACCCATCGGAAGTAGGAATAAAAGAGAAATGGGACAATGACAAAACAACCATTGGGATATGCACCAACCAATATATTCGTAATAAAAAATAGTTTTGAAATATCAATATTTTATAAAATATATAATTATATATAAAAATAGATATTGATAGTCAAAGTACAATATTGAAGAACGTGAAAAGTCAAATGGAAAGAACAAGTCCGGACGGAGAGAGTATCGCTAAGAATGTTGAAAGATCGGTTCGGAATTTTACATCAAAGAGGTACTTCTTCTGTCCCATAAAGATGTATCTGCTTTGATTTTTAGGAAATTTAAAGGAAGATGTGATAATTTAAAGTCTCGACAGAGATAATTTGATGTTCACTTTCATAAAATACACTTGATGTGATGAGTAAAAGTAGGATGTGATAAGTAGATTATTAGTAAAAAGATATGATGTGATATGTAAGTTAAAAATTACTCCCTCCGTTTCTTAAAACCCTTCCTCTTTCATTTTTTTTGTTTTTCTTAAAACACTTCCCTTTTCTATTAAAAAACCACTTTTACCCCTATTTTTTCATACCCTACCTATCACATCATACTTTTTCACTAACAACTAAACCATCACATCTTACTTTTACCCATCACATCAAGGGCAAAATTGGAAAGTCAACTACAATTTAACACTTCCTTATTCTTCTCCAAAGTCAAAAGGGGAATTGTTTTGAGAAACGGAGGTAGTAGTAATGATAAAAGTCGTTTTTTAATAGAAAAGTAAAGAATTTTGCGGGACAAGAAAAAAAAGGGAAAAAGTTTTTGGGACACAGGGAATAATGAATACTTGATATACCTGGGCCATAGCTTCCCACCACGAAGCATATTCAGTAGCTCCAAAAAATATTTATACCTGTCATACATGTAACTTATCATAAAGAACAAAGTTACTAATATGGAACCGTGTACGTGAAGATGGGGGAAGTACGAGATAAAGATGAAACCGGAGTGACTGCTTGAGCGGAATACAAGATAAAATCAGCTAAATGAGATAGAGGATGACGAACACGACTTGGAGGATGTACGGGTGGAGCACATGGATCACCGTCTGTCTCCGTGGGCACGGTCGATGATGAGCTAGCTACTATCTGCCGATGGTACTTCAGAAAACGAAGGAGGAACGGTAGTGGGTGTACTCGATTGGGACACGGTGGAAGGATCTGTTTGAGGGGTTGGAAAATCTGTGGGTGACGGAGAACATAGAGTTAGTGATGTTTTGGTTGGTTTTAGAATGGCAGAAGGGAAAATTGACTCATCGAAGGACACATCCCGACTGTGAGAAAACTAATGTGTTTCAAGATTGCATACTCGCCAACCTTTTGTTCCAAAAGGATACCCGATAAAAACACATTTCACGCTTCTTGGGCAAATTTGTTTGGAGGTTTAGATAATTGCCGAACAAAACAAAGACAACCAAAGACCCTTAGGTGACTCAAGGCTTGAGGTTGGAAGTATGAATTTCTAGAGGGGACTAACCACCAAGAAATTTAGCGGGTATATGATTGATGAGATAAACAACAATTTTGACACATAATTTACCTTAAAACTCAAGAGGAACAGACGCCTAAAACATAAGAGAGCGAGCAATATTTAAAATATGACGATGTTTACACTACACTCACCTATTTTGTTGTGGGGTATCAACACATGACCTTTGAACACATATACCCATTTCATCATAAAACTGATGAAGTAGTGCATTGAGGAATTCAGTCTCATTATCAAAACGAACCAATTTAATGATTTTAGAGAGTTGTGTATAAATCATGACAAAAGACGTTTAAGTCAAGAAGTGACTTCACTTTTATTCTTAATAAGATATACCTGAATTGCATGTGAATAATTATCGACAATGTTAGAATATAAATAACTTTTTCTGAGCCACAACCACAAGCTTGAGCTTTTGGTTGAGTTGGTTCCTTGACATGGTATCAGAGCCTCGTTGACTAAGAGGTCACGGGTTCGAAACTCAGCGTCACCTAGTTTAAAAAAATTAAAGTTTCACGTGCAAGGCTCGAAAAAGACTACGCCTACACGTGAGGGGGCGTGTTAGAATATAAATAACTGTTCCTGAGCCATAACCACAAGCTTGAGCTTTTGGTTGAGTTGCTTCCTTGACATACAATGATGAAAAAATAATATGCACCAGAAGAGATACAAGGAGTGTAAGCCCCCACAGATCACAATGAATTAAACCAAACACACTATCAACTTTATTTGAACTTAATGGAAATGGAGAACCAGCCTTTTTTGACATAAAACAAATTTCATAAGATTGTAAATTCTTAACAATAGAATTGTTTTTATTTTAATCAAGAAAAGAACACGCATCAGAAGACAAATGCCCTAGTTGGTGATGAAGAAGGATGTGATTGGCTGAGGTAGCTGAGGCCAAAACAGGAAAAGACTCTAGGACGTACACTCTGTTCCATAATTCACCCTCGTCCAATCTCCACTTCAACGTAGGATATTGTATTCCACAACAATGATCATTAAAAAGTACATGACAAGACAAATTACAAATAAGACATTCCACAGAAATCAGATGACAATTTAAATTAGGAACCAATAATACGTTGGTGAGAACCAAATGGGGAGATAGTTTCACACTTGCCTACTGGACAACCTGAATACGAGAGCCATCTGAGAGACAAACAGAATAAGGATTCACCTCGGCTGGACGAACTGCGACCCCACCTTCTCTTCTAAAATATACAGGAAACTCGATTATCTCAAAACAGATGTCCACGTTGTGATTGGTATGTCCACAATGTGAATAGGACAATTTGCCGGAGAAGAGGGGCATTGTGCAGCAAAGGCTATCGAATCAGTACCGTCGTCTCGACTACGAAAAATAGTTTTATGACAATCCTCTTGTGCCACTAGATAATAGGCTCTATCCAAGTCTGCTAGAGGTTCCGTACCAATAATTTGAGATGTAATTCTACCAATAATTTGACGCGCACACAGTTGACAACAGCGGCAACACAAGTTCATCATCTTGCCTTAAATTGGTTCCAGATAGTGATAAACTAATTGCAATACGCAACAAAATATTCTTGTCACATTTCAAGTTTTGTAAAGTTCTTGATATACTCTTTAAATATGTAAGTTTTATTTTTTATTTATATACTAATCTTTAAATAGAATTAATTGAAAAACATGAAATTTTACTCTACTTTGCGTAAAGAGTAGATGATTTAGAGACGTAACCAAACTATTTAAGGAAATATATTCCTAAAGCGAACAAACTATATACAATAAATACAAACAATATGGCAATATCCTCTAATAGTATAATAGTAGATGAGACTGGCTGCATCAATTAATCAAGGTAAATAATTAAACAAATTAAAATAATTAATTGATAATGATATGTAAGTGATTCATAATCTCATATATATATGCATTATGAATATATCAAAGATTTGAAAGTGATTATTGAGGCCGGGATCCAAGGCAGTCATGATGAGAAGAGAGAAAGTTAAAGCAAGAAAAAAATAAATAAAGGTGAAATAAAGAACACACAAAAAGCTAACAAAATTAATAAGATCGATCGAAAAGATTCTATTTACTGAGCACTATACTTTACTCATTCTTTCTACTAGTAGTAAATTTATTTATTTATTATGGGTACGTACGGTGGAGTTTAGCAGAATAAAAAAAGGTGGTAGAAATAAATGAAGAGATGAGGGCCGCCCGGCTTCATCAGATCCAAGAAATTTCACTTACTTTCATGCATGCATTATATTTTTCAATTCCAATTTATCAAACAAAGGAAGATAATATACAAGGAATAATTAATAGGCTACCTACGCGTCATGCGTGAAACTAGGCCTCCCATCTCCGATTGGATACCCTAATCCTATTTCGCCGGAATTTCACTGGAAGGCACTTGCCCAAGCATGCCCTCCCCCCTCTGCCTCTGATTGAGGTAATTCGGTATCTGAGATGACAGAATATTGTTAGATGTTTCTGTGCAGAAAGAGATGACTAGACAAAATTAAGAATTTATTCTTACTAAGAATTATATATGACTTTAAATAAGAGCGTTTGGAGAGTTAGAACTAGAACATCTGTGTAAGTCCCTTGAGCTAAGGGGTGTTGTTGCTCTTGTATGCCTTATATGATTGGTGCTATTCGTTAAGTATTTGCCTGCATTTCTTTCTCTTCGTTAACTTTAGTTTATTTAGCTTGTTTTCTTTTACTCTGGTGGGCATGTAATTGGTATTTTATCTGTGTTGTTTCTATATTTATTTTCTCTACTTGGTTTATCCTTTTGGCACTCTCTCCTCAACCAGCTGAGCTACGCCACAAGCCGACAACAGATATACAGATATATATTTCATCCGTCCATATAATTTGATTACAAATTGGGGTTTACAAGGAGAAATATCTCACTTTTTTAAAATCATTTTATTTATAAATCAGTATATCGATAAGAAATAAAAATTAAATATTAAAAACTTCGTAAGAAATTCTACTCCCTCCATCCCAGAAAACCTTTCTCCTTTCTTTTTTCATCCGTCCCAAAAAACACTTCTCATTTCTATAAAAAAGTCACTTTTACCCCTTACTTTTTCATACCCTACCTATCACATCATACCTTTTTACTAATAATTTATCCATCAAATCATACTTTTACCCATCACATCAAAGGACATTTTTGGAAATTCAATACCAAGATACACTCCACTTAAATCCCCTCCAAAACCAAAAGTCCCATGTTTTTCGGGACGGAGGGAGTACAAAACAAGAGTTGACAAGAATATTTTATTTTATCAAATACTTAATAAAATCCCATAAACAGACAAAAGTTAACGAGGGGGGAGAGAAAAAAATTATAAAAGATAATCTACTCTTTTTTCCACATTGTCACGTTAACAGAATTCAAGAGAAATGTCAAAGATGGTATCCTTTTTTTGAATATTTAGATGAGAGATTTATTTTTTAAATTACATATTTGTTACTACGAGTAAAAGATAAAATAAAATAGATGAAAAATGTTTTTGAGAACGTTAAAAAAATGGATAAATTTTTTAATTTCTCCTTTTCCTAGTTACTTTCTCTTTTCCAAAAGGTGAATTAAAGTCTGCAAGAACATCATGCTGTGTGGAAACTTTGTCCCTATTCTAATCTTTTCTTTTTCTAATCCAACAACTCCCCCGCCACTTTCATATATCTAATCTTCGCTAGTGTATCCTCAAAATTAATCTTGGGGCGTTGCACATATGTTAATTAAAGGCATCCTCTGGTTAAAGTTTAGACGCGAGTTCGAATCCTCATAACTACACTGAGACAAAACTATGCTAATAAACATAGGGCATCTGTAAAAAGACATTATTTAAATTACCAAAATAAACAATACGTATGACCAATATCAAACGCTACAACAAAAAAAACAACTCAAAATATTACTGTAATTTTATTTCAAAATAGAATAAAATAAAATAAAATTATTTTTAAAATTTCTACAATTTTTAGATCTAATTTAAAATTTCCAAAATAATCAAGTATGAAAAAGAATTAGGATAATTAATGAAAAAATATTGCCATACATACGGTACAACAAAACAACACTCCGGAACTTTTTTCGTAATAGCTATTTTTATACGAGTAATAGCTAACCACTCATCAAATAGAAATAGCTCAGCTATTTTTATACCAGTAATAGCTAACTCTATCAGCTAACACGAACACCCATCAGCCAAGAGCTATTCACCAAACAAGGCCATAATTTAAGTGATCAACTTTAAAATTAAACCTTGTTTTTCTATCATTTTATATTTGCTTCATTCCGCACTGATCACATACTTCCATGTTTTTATCCTTTTCATTATTCCTCAATATATAAAGATCAAATTAATATAATATTCCCTCCGTTCCACAAAACTCTTCTTCTTTCGTTTTGTTTTGCTTTCCACAAAACACTTCCACTTTCTATTAAAAACCACTTTTACCCCTACTTTTTCATACCCTACCTATCACATCATACTTTTTCATTAATAACCAAACTATCACATCTTACTTTTCCCATCACATCAGGAGCAAAATTGGAAAGTCAACCAACATTTCACTTTCCTTATTTTTCCCCAAAGTCAAAACCGGAAGGGTTTTGTGGAACGGAGGTAGTAATGATTAGAAAATACTACGTAATATCTTCTTTCTTTTTTTAGTTTTCTTTTGCGTAATTTACGTTCGAACTCTTCAAAAATTACATAAATTTCCTCTAAACTTTAAAAATTACACCAATTCTCTATGAATTTTTAAAAATGTTGCATCAATGGTCCATCTGCACCATATTTAGGAGTGCGTTATTTATTCATTGAATATTTTATTATAAATGAAATGGAAAAAACAATCTTCTCCACAATCCATGATCTCGAAGATTAGTCGATGTTTAAGACCATTATTACACAATCATCTTTTATTTTTTAAATTTTTTAATGTAGTTTTAAAAATAAGTTGTTTTTTTTAATTTTATATCAATATTAATATAAATAGATTCAAAACTAACTTTATTTTAACATATCCTAATCAAATTAAATACTCGTACGAAAATTGTTTAGAGATGAAGAGGGTAACATATTTATAATTGAAAGTTTTGTTTTAAATGAAAAGGAAAAAATATTGAATTAGGAAAGAATATTATTATAAAAATGAAAATATTGATTTCATATTTAAATTTATTAAAAAAATCATCCTAAAATATTTATTTCATATTTTCTTGTCTTAAATTAGGTGAAATAAGCCACATAAGTAACACACATGTCAACTTTCTAAACATAGGAGTCTCATTTTTGTATAAAAATGATTTATTAAAGTTTAATAGGTATATTTTTAACAAAAAAAAGTTTAGTTTAATCCCATGTCAAGTATTATTTGTAATGTATTAGATATTTAATCTCATGTTGAATTTTTTTTGAGTGATTGTCGAATATTTATTTAAATATTTAAAGTATTTTTCTATACTCTCTTTCCATATAGTTTTTAAATATGCAAGTTCCATTTTTATATCTATATCAATTTATAAATAAATTGAATTTAAAAAGTATGAGGTTTTGCAAGTTCTTCGAATTATGTAATATAATTTAGGACTGAGGGAGTATATAACAATATTGTTAAACTTGTTTAATTTGTTAAACTAAAATATAATTAACATGCTTTACTTGTTTAGGGCACATTATCAAATACCATGAAGTTTACTCCGTAATTTGGTTTATCCAAATATGACCTTTTATATATTTGAACAACATGCAAATCTATGGAAATGAATAGTACAAATTCTACATTTAAAAACTATATTAAAATTTTGAGAAAACAAGATACGATAAAAAATTTTATGTTATCAAATGACCAATGAAAACACACAAGTAAACAAAAATTATTGACTTCGAAGTTCAAATAGTAAACGTGCGATTTATTTTTGGTATGGAGGGAGTATAATGTAAGCTAGGTAAAAAGCTAAATCAAAGAATAAAAGGAAAAGAAAAAGACAAATCTTCACATTAAAACAACTTTAATTTTTTTAAAGAAAAAAAATTCTAAATGTTGAAACTTGTCTTGATTGAGGAGGAGTAATAGTAGGGGCAATAAGAGATGTATAAAAGTTGGATTGCCTTTCAAAAGTGTGTACATAATGCTTACTTTAAGGTACTAATAAAACCCTAAAAAGGACACTTAGTGCCGGCTCTCTACTTTTATCATTCCATGCCTTTTTTTCCCTTTTATGATATGTAATCATTTCTGATGTGTCATCACACCTCACTCGAACGGCTACTCCCTCCATTATGCAAATGGGGCTATATATTGGTCATTTGTTTCCCACTTTGATAGTGTCCCATATGCCCTCAAAATTATCAAGAAAAAATAATTATTAATAAGATATTGAATTGAATTAGCTAGATGATGATCGACTATTATTATTTCTTAAACGACTTAGATGACTCATTATTGAATTTAATCTTTTTAACGTGGGTTTTTGTAACATCTTGAATTTAACGTGGCCCTTTTGTGCAAATAGTGAAGAGCGGTTATCAAAGACTTATATGAGATAGGCGACTAATGTCACCTGCTTCTTTACTTGGGAAAGATTATGGAAGACTCTCGTATGAGTTTGGAGAATATGTATCCGCTTAGTGGTCAATCGGGTGAGTCTATCGACCATGTCTTGATAGGGTGTTCTTTTTTGAATGCATAACATCAACAAAAACAACAACAACAAAGTTTTATCCCACTAGGAGAGCTGGGCTACATGGATTAAACGACGTCATTGTGCCCTATCATGTATCTTATCTGGTGTAAGATCATTCACGTGAATATCTCCCTTGATCATTGCTTGCCAATATTGGTGTAGAATTTACGGAATGAATTGCTTATCTTACCATTGATATGTCAATCATATATATAGTACATGGGGTTACCAAACTATCTAAGGAAACAAACTCCTACAAGGAAACTATATACAATAAATACAATATACTCTAATACTCCCCATCAAGTTGGAGTATAAACATAAAAAATGTCCAACTTGGATAGTAAACAACGAAAAAGTGGAGCAAAGAGAGCCTTCATGAAGATATCTGTAGTTTGAAGACGTGTAGGAACGTATGCTGTAACAGCATGCTTTCGATGAATACATTCTCGTACAATATGACGGTCAATGTCAATATGTTTGGAACGCTCATGGAATACCGGATTTGCAGCAATGAACAAAGCATACTTTTTATCAAAATACAATTTTAGAGTAGTCACGCACGGGATAGCCAACATCGTAAGGATCCCACATATCCAACAAATTTCTGTGCAGGCATTAGCTATAGCACGATATTCTGCTTCGGCTGACGAATGTGTTACGTAGTAGTGTTTCTGGGCTGAAAAACTATTGTATTCTCTCTTGGTTGTTTACAATACAATGGGGAGTATATATATACAGCAAGGTATTCCTAATAGGATTAGGAATGCTAAATAAAAGGAAGCTACCATATACAAGTCTAA